AAATTTTTTAAACTTTAATAATAATTAATTAATTGGATCGAGATGCAAAAAAATTCTTTTTATTAAATATAATATCCAATGAAAGCGAATTTAAATGTTTTAAAATTATTTTATTAATTATTTTTCGTTAATGATTTTGTTGAATGATTTGAAGATTGATTAAAAAAATTTATCTTTTTATATTAAAATTAATATGTGTTAAATTGAAATTAATTTTTTTTGATTAATTGTTTAATTAAATTGAGATTTTATAAATTACTTTAATTAATTAATAAAATGATTTTATATTTAAAAACGTTATATAATAAATCTCTATTAACGTTTTCAAAACTTATGTGAATTGAAATGGGTTTTTGTAAAATAGATTTTTCAAATAAAGAAAACATTTAAATAAAAATTTGATATATAAACATAATGAATTGATTTGAATGCAATTTTAATCCTATATAATTTTATAAATAAAAAAATAATAATATTAAAATTTTTAATTAATATTTTCATATTTTTAATTGAAATGATCAATTTTTGCAAAATAAAATCAATAAATGTTGACAAATTGTTGCAAATGTGGTTATTAAATATAATATTAAATAGTTAAAAAAATCAAAATTATAATTTAATTTCAAATTGATAAAATAAATTTGCAAATTTATAATTATAATAATGTTAATTATGATATCAATATTTTTAATAAAAATTTTTGATTGATTGAAATAATTAATTGAATTAAATTGTTTTTTTATTCTTTTGAATGTATAATCAAATTATAATCTTTAATTAATTTTTTTGAAATGATTATATGCAATTAAACTAAACAATAAATGAAAACTCGAATTAAATCATTTATATAAAAATATTAATTAAAATCATAATTTCTTTGATTTAACTTAAATTTACAGAAACATTTCATTTTTGTTTTTTAAAAATTAAAACTTTCTCATTATTGTTTTTTTTTTAATTTTTATTTTAATTATTTATTGATTTATTACCTTTTTTTAACGTTGTTATAGTAATTCAAAATAATTAATTAATTTATTTAATCAAAAGAATGAAGCAAAGCTTTAAATAATTTTTAAATTGTTTAATTAAATAAAAAAATTTTAAAATAAAATTCACAATTTTTTTAATATCATTGAATTTATTGTTTCATAAAATTGAAAATATAAAATAATGATTTAAAATCATTTTCAAAAAATGATAAAAAATACAGATCAATTGATAAATTTTGTTTATTTTTAGTATAATTATTTTGGTATAAATATCTTTTTATATTAAAACAAAAAAATTGATCAAATATTAATCAATAATAATTTTTAATATATGATATTAACAAATAATATTTTATTTTTAAATTTCAATATTCAATATTAATCTTTTTTGAAATATCTAAAATATATTATAAAAATAATTTTAATTAATGACAAAAATTCTATTGATTGACAAAAAAATTTTAATTAAAAATAAAATTAATAATAAATTTTTATTTATATAATAATATTTTTTCATTTTAATTTATATTTTCAAATAAAATATCAATGAATAAATTAATTTGTTAAATTTAATTGAATAATTAAAATTGCATATGAATTGATATTCTGTAATTTTAAAATAATAAATTTTTTTAATATAATAAATTTAATTTTTTGATTTAGATCAGTATAATTTTATAAATAACAATTTTTTGTATAAAATTTGATAAAATTAAATTTATTTTTATTTATAATAAATTGAAATAAGAATTTGATTCAAATAAAATAAAATAATTTTAATTAATAAAAATATTGCAAATAAAATAATAATTAATATAATAAATGATAATTGCAACAATCATATAAAAAATTAAAAAAATTTAAAAAAAAATAAAAATATATAAAAAAAGACATTTTAGATTTATAATTGTTACATGAAGCAATTATATAAAACTAAATAATTAAAAATAATATATTTCAAATATTTTAAACCAAAAAATAATAAAACAAATTGATAAAAAATGAATGAATTTTTATTAAATGGAATTAAGTTAATTATTTAAAAATTTTAAAATTTGAAAATGATTTAATCTTATATTTATAAATATTTTTAATGCATAAAATAATAAATGAATAATAAAAATAATGCATTTAAAATTTATTTCAAAATTTGCATATTTATATTAAATCTATTTCGGCTTGAAATAATATTATTTTTAATATGGAATAGTTTTAAAATATTTGAATATAATTAGTTAATGACAAAAAAACGTTTAATTATATAATTATATGTTGAAAATATGAAATAAAATGTATAAATACAATTAACACAAAAATTGATTTATAATTTTTAATGATATTAAATTGAATACAATAAATATTAATAATATTAAATAAGATCTGACAGATATCGATTATGTTAAAAAACAAAATAAAAAATCTTACATAAATAATGTTGATTCAAAATGTTTGGAAACGCGTAAAAAAATGGAAAAAAACATTTTTGAATGAAAATAAAACAATTGATTTAAAAAGCGACAATTCATCGATGATGCCATCACCTGGGCTGTGACAAGACTAGCCATTTAGGATAGACGATGGCAGGAGGCAGTAAACTAACCAACAACTTTCTTAATATATTATCAATAATTTTATTAAATGTGTCATGTGAAGTAGTCACGTGATATCAGGTGATCAAGGGTCATACAATTTAGGTGCCTCAGGCAAGGAAAGTGGAGAAAATCGATAAAGAATGAATGAATTTCTATTGAATTGGATTGAATTGACTGCTTGAAAAAATCAGAATTTCGAGATGATTTGATCTCATATTTATAGACATTTTTCAATGCATAAAATAATAAATGAATAGTGAAAATAATATATTCGGGATTTGTTCTAAGATTTGCATAATCATGTTAAATCTATTCTAACTCAAAATAACATTATTTTTAATACAAAATGACTTTAAAACGTTCAAATATAATTAATTGATGACAAAAAAGCGTTTCATTATATAATTATATATTGAAAATACAAAATAAATTGCATAAATATAATCAACATGAAAATTGATTCATAATTCTTAATGATATTAAATTAAATGCGACAAATATTAATAATATTAAATAAAACCTAATGAATGCCGGTCGTTTTGAAAAATGAAATAAAAAATTTTAAATAAATAATATTAATTTGAAATGTTCGAAAACTCGCAAAAAAACATGAAAAAATATTATTAAACTGAAAATAAAACAATTAATTCAAAAAATGATAATTCATTAATAACATTACTATTTGGATTGTAATAAAAATAATTATTTAAAACAAACAATAATAAAAAACAATAAAATAATCAATATATTTTTTCAATTTTAATTGGTTAAATCAATTATTTAAAGTTACATTTTTTGAATCTTTTCAGTTTTTTAAAAATAAAAATTTTTCATATTTAATTATTCAATAAATTTTGTATAATTTTATTTTAAAAAACATTTAATTAATTTGTCAACAATTATATGATCAATAAAAATTTATTAAAATTTAATAATGTTTATTTGAATTTTCTATTTGAATCAATGTTAATTAATATTTATATATTTAAATTTGATTTTGTATATTAAATTAAATTTAGTGAAAAAATCAATAATTTATTAATTATTATATTCAATAATCAATTATTGATCAAAATTAAATTTTATAATATTAAATAATTAGATTTATCAAAAAAAATGTTAATTTGTTAGAATAAAAATTAGAAATTCTGCTTCGATAATAAATAAAATAATTGTTTTTTATTATTCAACTAATTAATTAACGAATCTATTAAATAAATAACATATAAAATTTTTATTTAATGATTTATTAAATGAATCAACAAACATTATATTATTAATAATACAAAAAATTGATATTAAATTAAGATTGTTCAAAATTAAATTAAATTTTTTTAACACATTTTCAAAATATTCAATTATATAAAAGCAGATCTCGTACATAAATGAACTAAGATAATTAATTGTACTTATATAAATCAAATAAGATTTAATTATAAATTTAATAAAAATTTGACAATTTTTTGCAATATCAGATCTTAAAATGATAATTACATATAAAAATAATTTATTTTTTTTATTAAAAAACAATAATATACGATTTTTTAAAAAATTGTTTTATTTCATTTTGCAAATTTTTTGTCAAAAATAACATTTTTGAAAACTTTTGACTAATTAAATAAAACTGATAAATAATTTTTTCAATATAATTATATTTATTAATCTATAATTTTCATTGTGAATAATCACATATTATTTTTATATTTAAAAATTGATTTATTTGACTGAGATTTTTCAAATGATAAATGTTAAATGATTAATTTTTTAATTTTAATTATTTATTATTAATGATGTTGATTATATAAAATAATGATATTATTAATATAAATTATTAAAATTATATAATTATTTGAATATAAATAAAGATTTTTTGACATCTGATTTAGTTCTAAATTTTGTAAAAATTTATTGATTTTATTTTGTTAAAAAAAATAATGATTAACATAATTCATATAAAACTTATTTTAATCTAAAAATTTTATTTTTTGAATTAAATTCAAAAAACAATAAAATATTAATTAATTTATCAATAAAATTATTCAAAAAAACCATTTATAATATTTTATTAATTCATTTCAAGATCAAATGCGACAATTAAAATTAAAATAATTTTAAATAAACAAATTATTGAAATAATTGCTTTAAAATTGAGATCATTTATTGATTAAAAATTATTTTGTATATATATTTGAATTTTAAATTTAATTAAAAAATTTTGATTATCGAATTTATATTTAAAGATTTATTTAAATGAAATTAATGGATTTTAAAAATTTTTTAAGATAAAAATAATATTTTATATATTTATTTTAATTAATTAATCAAATTTAATTTAACAAACAATAAATCATTTATTTTTATAAAACAAATTTATTATTTTTTTTAATTCATTAACTTAAATGACATATCATTTTTGAAGAACGGCCATGCACCACCATCCAAAAGATCAAGAAAGAGCTCTCAATCTGTCAATCCTTATTTTGTCTGGACCTGGTGAGTTTCCCCGTGTTGGGTCAAATTATGCCGCAGGCTCCACGCCTTGTGGCCCTCCTGCTGCCACTGAGTCCGATGGTGTTGGCGAGGGCGAGGAAACGAATGCCACTCCCACTGGGTGGGAGAACGGGCAGCCCTGTCTCAGTTGCGTGCATGGCGGCATCTGCTGGGTTCCTGTTGGAGCCAGTCGGATGTGTGGAATGGTGTTCGACGTTTCCACCTCGCTCTATAGGCATATGCGCCGGGGGCACCACATCAACCTCCGCCCGAACAGCTGTGGAAACATCCTCATCAGCGAAACAGTGGAGGGGGAGCAGGCTTTGCTGCGCTACGTTCGTGCCCAACACTGGTGTAACGCCAGCTTCGTCCGTGAGCCAGGCCGTGGCCCCATCAGAGGCTACATCGACAGAGTTTGCGACAATCTTGAGTGCATTGCCGCCCTTGACCCTGTCTTTGCCAATCGATACGGAACACGTTTTCATAGAGATCATAATCCTGTCACCACCCCTGTTCGGGGCAGCAGGAAGAGCGAATATATTCTTCCTCTTTCACCTCCTTCTGGCTCGCTCAGCTCGCTGCACAAAATGAACATATTCTTTTTCTTTCATTTCTTTCTTGTTTGTTCACTTTGTTACACAAAATAAATATATTCTTTTTTTTCATTTATTTCTCATTCACTTATTTCGCTATGCAAAACAAATATATATATATTTTTAATTTTTTTTATTTGTTCATTTTGCTATACAAAATAAATATATATCTTTTTTATTTTTTTTGTTCATTTATTTTATATAATAAAATAAATATATTCTTTTTTTCATTTTTAAAACAAATAATTATATAATATCATAATAATGCTTTATAATTATATCAATTATAATTATTTATTTTTAAATTTTTTTATCATTTACAAATATTTTTATATAATTGAAAATCTCGCTGATTTTAAAAAATAATTTTTTTTATTTTTTTTATTTTTACAGAAAATATATTAAAATGTATTTTTTAAAATGTTATATAACATATTAATTTATTATATTAATTTATTATATTAATTTATTATATTAATTTATTATATTAATTTATAAATTTATTAGTTAATATAATAAATAATTATTAATATTGTTTATAAAATAACAATAAATATATATCAATAAAATGTTAAACACACAATATAATTATATTATAAATTTTGAATATTTTTATATAATTATAATTAAATATTATAAAATATTATATAATTAAAAAATTTTATAATTATATAAATTTTTTTTTGCAATTTTTATATGAGATTTAACACTTTGAAAAATATTATTTAAATAATTTTTAATTATTGATTTTAAAACACATTATAATTTTTTTTTATATTATAATTTTTTTTTATAATTTATTTTAAATTATATACAATTTTTTGTTATATTAATTTTTTAATTTCATATATATTATTAAATAATAATGCGACATATAAAAAATCATTTTTAATTTAAATTATTAATTAAATATATTATAAATTTTATAACTATTGCGAACAATTTAATCAATTAATTAATTATATAAAAATTTATTATAAAATGATATAAATTCAATATTACAAAAAGATTTTTAAAAAATATTTAAATTATATTTATTACAACATTTAATTATATAATTAATTTATAACATATAAAACTTTTTATTAATTTTTTGTTATTCGCCCTTTCTAAAATTAATAAAATTAGATTATAAATTAAAAATATTTTAAACAATATGTTAATTTTTAATTAAACCATAAACGATTTTTTTTAAATTATATAATTAATCAAAAAAAATAAAATTTTAATTAATATAATTAAAAAAGGAATTTTAATAATTATTTATTATATTGCAGATTAAAATGCAATAAACAATTTTTATTAAAAAGTATTTAAAATATTTTAAATTAAATGAATTATTTAATTGCAACAATTAAAATTAAAATAATTAAATTTTTATTTATCAATATATACAAATCGAAAATGATTGCTTTATATTAAAAGATTTAATTATTATTATTAAAAAAATGTATAAATTATTTAATTATGATATAACATTTTTGTTAATGACATTTTAATAAATTGATATTCAATTGAAAAAATGAAAATTAAAATAAAAAAGAATTTGGTTAAAATAATTTTAAATATTAATAAAAAATAATTATAATTAAAAATATATATTTTATATATTAAATGATATAACTAATTGTTAATATTAATTAGTAAAAAATTTTTACTTGTATTTCTTATTTTTATTAATTCAAAAAATACAAATATAATATTAAAAAATTGTTTATATTTGCATTTTTATTTTTTCAATACAAAATTATATAATTTGATTTATTATTTTATATAATATTTATAATATTATCAATTTAAATATATTTAATATTTTTATTTTGTTTTCATCTGTTATTCATATTATATTAAAACATGTTTTTTATGAATTGTAATATTAAATATATATAAAAATATTATTAATCTATAAATTGTCAAAATCTATATGTTATTATAAATAATGTCTTAAGTAACAAAAATATCAAAAAAATTAGATTAAACATGAACAAAAAAATCAAATTTTTTTTATATTTGGACAATTTCAAAATATAAAAAATAAACAGATTGCATAAAAAAATTAATTACCAAAATTTAATAAAACCAATTTTTTTATTTTTAATATTATTTGCAATAAATTGTAAATTTAAAAATAAAAATAAATTTTATTAATTTTTGTTTTTCAATTTAAAATTGGTGTAATTAATTGTTATATTAAATTAGATTTTTATTGGAATATTTATTTTTAAATTTCATCTTAAATTAATCAAATTAATCAAAATGATCAAAAATATTAAATAAATAATTTTATCTTTTATATTAAAAGATTTGACTGACTATTTTATTGTCAATTGAATTGTCACAAAAAAAATAAAAATAAAATCTTTTGTTTAATTTAAATAATAAATTTTATAATTACGTTTTCATTTCGACAATTGAATAAACAAATTAAAAATTTATAATCTTTACTAATATGTTGCAATTTGACATTTTATATTTTTTTTTAAAAATGAATTTAATATTATATTTTAATGAATAAAAATTAAAGCAAATAAAATTCAAATTATTAAATAAAAAATATTATTATAATTTAATTATTTATGTTCAACGCAGGTATATATATAATTAAAAAATTAATTGAAAGATTATTATTTTTTATATTTGAATTTAAATCTTATTAATAAATTTTTTCATCATTTTTATCATAAAAATTAATTTATATATTCATTTTATTATTATAAATTGTTATTTTATATTATTTTATGTTAATCTTTAAAATAATTTTTTCAATTTTTAATTTATTAATTTTTTTATTTTTTATTGCATCTATCAACTCTAAATCACAATTTTAATTTTTGTTATTACTAATTAATTTTTTTGAAAATGATTTTTGCAAATAATATGACAAATAAAATAAAAAAATAAAAATTAATTGTAATCCGAATTAAAAAAAAATTTATAAAATTAAATTAATAATTTTGACAATATTTTTTTAGTTTTTTAAAAAACAAATTTAATTTTAAAAATTATAAAAAATGTAATATTCATTGCACATTTTTTATTAAATTATAAGATCTTTTTACGAAATTTATTTTTACTCAAATTAAAAATGAATTATGCAAAAAAATTGCAAAACATGCAAAATAATTAAAATTATTTAAAATAATATTGCAATTAATTTTTATATTTAATTTTTTGATAAATTTTATTAAAATTAATAAAATTAACAAAACAAACAATTTTATAATTTATTGTAAAATAACACACAAAAACATTTATATTTAATATAAAATTAAAAAGATCTTTTTTGCAATAATTTTAGATTTTTTTGATTTTTGATTCAAATTCTTTTTTAAAATATTCTTTATTTCATTGTTAAATTCCAATTTTAAATTAAATCTTTTAAAATTTATTTTTTTAAACTAATCTTTTCGCAATTTATTGATGTGATTGATTTGATTTTTTTATATAATATTTTCTATTTATTTTAATTAATTATTTTTTATTTCTTTTAGTTAATCGGTCAAGATTCAAATAAAATATTAAATTGATGATTAAACTTTTGACACATTTTAAAAAGAATTTTTATATAACAAAAATAATAACGATAGAAATATAATTATATAATAAAAAATCAATTGATACTTATATTAAATTTTTAATGGTATATATTATGTTTGTATTAGATTTTGTATATTGTATTTTTAAACAAATTTTTTTGATTGAGTTATTTCAAAAAAATATAAATATAAAAATAAAATCAAATTATTTTTATTAAATACATTTCATTATAAAATGCGACAACATATGTTTATATAAAAGAATTTTATATAAAAAAAAATCAAAATACATTTTTTATTTAATTATTTATATTAAAAACAAAACTTTATTTTGTTTTATTAAAAATAAAATATTAAACATTTCAAAAATATTATAAAATAATGTATAAAAATTTGATATAATATTAAACAAAAACAAAATATTTTGAATATTAATTTGATTATGTTTTTAAAAAATTTAATATTTAATGATTTTTGTACAAATTTTTTAAATTTTATAAATGTCACAGATTCTCAATTTTCGATTTTAAAAAACAATTATAATAAAAAAAAATAAAAAAATCTTTCATTTTCGTTTAGTTCAAATGCGATATCAATTATGTGAACAAAGATTATTAATTTATTTATTGAAATCTTTGTAAAATCATTATTATTTTTAATTTTAATTTTGAAAATTAATTAAATGAAAATGAAATCTTGCGAATATTTCAATATAATATAATAAAAAATTTAAATTGAATTATAATGATAACATTTTGTCATTTATGTGTTAAAAATTATAATGTAATTATATTTTAAAGATTATAAATTAATAAAAAGAACATTTTTTAATTTATGAGTATTTATTTTTTTATTTGTAAAATTTGTAATTAACAATTATTTTACATTATATAATATATTGTATCAATATATATATTTGTATTAAATCATTTTTTTGTATATAACATTTACAATTATTTGAGACCGAAAAACGAAAATGTTTATAAATTATAACAAATTTTTCAAATAATCAAATTAATTAATTTTATAATTAAACATTATATGATTGTGAATGATTTCAATTTTCATAATTAATAGTAATTAAGATTTATTCATTTCTAATTGACATGCAACTACAAAAAACACAATAAATTTAAAAAAATTTTAAAAAAAAACATTTTCGTAATTTTTATATTACAAAGTCTTGTCATTCATTTTGTGCATATTATTAAAAAATGAATCTACGATAATTTAATTAATATATATAAATATTATTATCGATCTTTAACTTTATATGTAAGATTCAAAAAAACAATTAATTAATATCAACATCAATACGATTTTAACAAAAAATTTAGATTATTAATTGATAGTAAT